CCCCCTTGGTGTTCAATCGTGTTGAATCAGCATTGCAGCGCAGATATCTTTGTCTTTGTTGTTATTCAGCTTCCTTTGTCTTTGAACTTGACTTCTTGAGAAGGCTTTATGAAGAAATCCTTGCAATCTCCCCTTTGATGTCTTCTTGGCAATTTGATATTTGATGCTGTGGGTTGAGGAATCTTTTGCTTGTAATCCTTGCCTTCCAGAAGTTGCTCTTGATCAGCTTGGATGAGGTCCGGTGACGCCTCTAGAATGAATGTTCTTTGGAGAATAGGAGACGCCCATGGAATTCATCTTCAACAGATTGAGTATCTGACCTTTTTCCCCTCCACAATGTAGTCTTTTTGACTGTTTGGAATGAATGCATTTGAGGAGAACTTGTCGGTGGCAAACCGGAACATAATGATGGTTGACTTGTGAGCGTAGCTGACCATTTGAGTTGCGAAGATAGTAGAGAGAGTTTTGAAGGAAAGAAATGTCCTAGAATGATTTTTTTTGACAGTTAACGGCATGTGGACCACTCTCCCCCTCATGACGATCCGATGACTCGGGACGTCATGCCTTTATTCTTTTATTCTGCGGAAATAAAACATGAAAAACAAGCAGAATGTAAAGAAGATAACGTAGTCCCCCGGGGTCATGTAGACGCCCGTTATCATCACTATAGAGTTAAACTCTGATGTGATGGCCTGAAAATGATGATGATTCTTATGTTGCATCAGCAGGACTTCCTTCCAATCATTGGTCTACATCTATAATAGATGAGCCCCATGGAAGTTCTCGCGGGTCTTGAAGACCTGCAACAGACTCAAAAAGTGCGTCTGTGTCCTAGAAAATTTCAAAACATTTGGGAGTGAGTAACTAGACACGACGTGATCAATGAAAGTTCAGTGGCATGGGGCTGAGGCCACTGTAGTCAGTATCACTTGCCTCGGAGGGAGACAGTAATGAGAGATGAGGTTCCCCGTGAAGTATGATTAAACACCCGTCTGTTGGGAGACAAGTGAGTGGGTCTTGGGTAGGGTTCAACGTGCACTGTTGGACAAGATGCAGTGACTTCTACCCGGGATCTGATTAAATCAGTCATGAACCTATTTGGGAATTGTACAGAGTATTTGAGTGGCTAGGAGTAAAATGATCAATGGATAATAGGCAGTTGAGGTAGCAGACTCATCATTGATTATTGTTTTTCTTCTCACTTGAGCCTTCTGCTTCCTAATGCTCATATTGATTACTCTCACTCACTTACTCATTCACTTACTCTCGGCTTTGTCCCTTGGGTAGGCTTTAGTTGGGTTTACTAAGCCATATGAACATGTTCTCTCATTGATTTTCTCTTTGTACTCCACCTCAACTGGAGCACTCGGTATGCTTTGTCATTGTTAGGCACCGGGGAGGATAACATTGAACACTCCCCCTAAAATGTTGCATCCTTTGAGAGATTCCTTGCTTTGTCGGTGTAAGGCGCCAGGAGGAGAAAACTGAAACTCCCCCTTAGAATGTGCAAGGTTTGATTGCTCACAGCTTGTCATACCCGCCATGTGTGTGGAGCAATCTGAACAAGTACCACACATGACGGTTTCCCTGAACTCATTATGTAGAATTTCAACATATTGATGATCACATAATGTTGATGAGTCAGAGGAGGCTTGAGTGGTTGATTGTTGATTATTGTAAGATGACCGTTGACGTGAGGTTGATTGAATTATCTACGATTTTCAGACCTTTACATTGAAGCTTAGACCCTATTTGACCTTTTGTTTTACTTTGAAAGAATTTGATCAGATTTGCCCAAATTGACCTTTTGACATCGGTGATTTACAAAGTTTTTCGGAAAACCAACGTTTTGACCCTCAAAGACTGCGAGTGAGGGCGCGTGAAAGTGCTTGCTGGGGTAAACCCTGAAAATAAATGTAGATCTTTTCGTTAGCTTTCCAACAAAAAAAAAAGTTTGCTTAAATCGGATCACCGAGTCAAAAGTTATTGCCAAAACAGTGCGGTGTCGCAGAAAATCTCGAAATTTTGAGTTTTTGAGGAATTTCTTCGAAGTTGAGATTCTCGATGTAGAATATCGAAATCAGGTGGAATCAGAGAAAATTTTAAGGCAAAAACTCGAAATCCTAATCTCGAGGTTTAAATCTTGAGATTACAATCTCGAGGTTTAAACCTCGAGATTACAATCTCGATGTTCAAATCTCGAGATTACAATCTCGAGGTTCAAATCTCGAGATTACAATCTCGAGGTTCAAATCTCGAGATTACAATCTCGAGGTTCAAATCTCGAGTTACAATCTCGAGGTTCAAATCTCGAGATTACAATCTCGAGGTTCAAAGCTCGAGATTACAATCTCGAGGTTCAAAGCTCGAGATTACAATCTCGAGGTTCAAAGCTCGAGATTACAATCTCGAGGTTCAAAGCTCGAGAATACAATCTCGAGGTTCAAATCTCGAGATTACAATCTCGAGGTTCAAATCTCGAGATTACAATCTCGAGGTTCAAATCTCGAGATTACAATCTCGAGGTTCAAATCTCGAGATTACAATCTCGAGGTTCAAATCTCGAGATTACAATCTCGAGGTTCAAATCTCGAGATTACAATCTCGAGGTTCAAATCTCGAGATCTTAATCTCGAGTTTGCCTCAAAGAATAATGACGAAATCCACCTGCAAAACAAACCTACAGTCTTCGAAATCTTCAGAATTTCAAAATGTTGGGAACATCGAAAACTTTGGAGTTTCGAAAACCTCAGAAAATCGAAAACTTGCTGTTTGAAAAACATCAGAACATCGAAAACTTTTAAAAACTTTGAAAAACAGAGATTCATCCAAAAGTCCTATGATGTAAAGCTTCGAAGTGTTTTGAACAAGAAAGATATCAAGTTTAGAAAAAATCAGTGATTCAAGAAACTCCAAACTTTGAAAAATTCAAAACATCGAGAAATTTTGAAAATCTCGAAATCTTAAGAATGTCGAGATCCTAAGCATCGAGATCCCAAAAGTCGAAATCCCAAAACTCGAAATTCCAAACCTCGATGTTTCAAAACTCGAGATGTCAAAACTCGAAATTTCAAAACTCGAAATTTCAAAAACTCGAGATTTCAGAAACTCGAGATTTCAAAAACTCGAGATGAGGAATTCGAGGCCCTAAATGTCAAGATCCTGCAAAATGAAAACTTCGATTTTTTAAAATCCGAAAACTGTTCTGAATAGCTCTGAAGGTCGAGATTCTCCTGTATCAGTTTCAAGTCAAAATCGTTTCTGCAGCAGTGAAAAACAAGAATCTCGAGATCTCAAATGTAGAGATCTTCGAAATTGAAAAATTGCAGAAAACGAAAACAGAGATATGTTGCTGGATCGGTTTTGAAAGGCGATTCCAACAGTATAATTTTTACAGATTTTCGTTCACAAACAAGATAACAGGAGCAAATCTCTATATCAAAGAAAAAGAGAAGAAAAACAGAGCAGTTCTTCGTAAGATCAGAAAATTCGCAGATAGATTCAACCTGTTTCACGCCTCGACTCTGATACCAATTGATAAACCCAGAATACTAAACAATCAAACAACCATAGCAGTTATGAAGAAGCAGATAGAAGATTATGAGATGAAAAACCAAATCTGGTATACCGTATGAAACCCCGCTGCTCTCCCTGAAGAAGGAGAGCAGCGAAAACCCTACTCTCTCTCTATCTCGCCTCTGCGTCTCTAAAGCCTCTATTGATGGTTAGGGTTCCCGTAAGTTAGCATCCTTATATAGGAGAAGTTGGCTAACTTACGAGTTACAAGGAAGCTAACGGGCTCATACACATTTGTGGCCCGTATTACACGTTTAATTAATAACTACACAAATACAAAGATATTTAATTAGATTGGACACCATAAAATATTCCCAACAATTCTATTGAGTATTAGGAGTTTAACAATGATCATCACTATCTTTGTTTCATACTGTCTATTTCACTTTCTTTATATTATTTTTTATTCTATAGAAATTTATTAAATTGCATTTATAATCAACTCCTATGAATTTCAATATGTGAATGTAATGTAATATGATATTTTAGAAATATGCATTATATGACATTTTAAAATGAGCATAACATCAATACCAAATGAGCATACATAACTTAAAAAATGAGCATTGATATGAAAATTGTAAATTTTGTTAGTCGAGTATCAAGATATTTTCAATGAGCATCAAATGATTTGTGTATTACAATCGTGCGATTGAATATCACGATTTGTGCTCTCGTGTCTATAACTGACTCTTATGTGAATCTAATGTAATATGATATTTTTGAAATATGCATTGATATTACATTTTAAAATGAGCATAACAACGATATCAAATGAGCATACATAACATACAAAATGAGTATCTAAAAAATCAAAAAATAATTTGTGTATATTCATTCCGTTTAGGCGTATACTCATTTGAGTTTAATATAAAACTCATTTGAGATCAATAGCAGCAAGGATTACTCAACAACGAAGTAGACTCTCCTTCAGGGGCGGATCTAGCATAGGGGCAGAGAGGGCCCATGCCCACTCTAAAAAATATCATATATATATACAATATTATATAGAGAGTTGTGTAGCAATGGTATAATAATACCATAGAAAGCCGAAGAGTTAACAAAATGTTGTTGGCAAGATGGGAGAAGACTGTGGGTGTAGTGCAAAGTTTGTGAATTTGATTCCCAGGTGGAGCAATTGTTTTTTAAAATCTAGTGGGTAGAGCATGGTATTTTATTTCTATTTTCTTTCCCATTTTTTTTATTCAATACAATAAGCCTAACGCCGATCTAAAATTGTTGAATGGGCTTAAAATTTTGTATTTGACTAACAAAAACAAATTATTCGTGTATTTCTTTTTAAAAAATTATGTTGTAAGATATGTTATTTAATACATGAAAATAAATTTTGTTAAATACATAATATTTTACTACTTTTTGATATTTTTTCGCAATATACATTATTTAATTAATTTTGGTCCCACCTGAATGCAAATGCTAGATCTGCCTGTGCTCTCATTGTCTCCAAAAATCACAAGCTCAATCAACAACATCTCGAACTCGATTTCAGTGTCCGTCATCCAGCCTGTGGCAGAACCAGAAATCATCAATCACCGACTCAATTGGTTGGCTCCCGGTCTTCTTCTTCGTGCAGCAACGACCAATATAGATGATTTCAAGTGTGTGCGATCTTCAGAATCAACGACGGCCGCAACATCTCAATTTCCAACGGCGCCAACGACAACCTAATCTGCGGTGATGGTTTCCCCTCAACCTTGAACAATGGCGGCAGATTCTATGAAGAAGACAATCAGCGAAAAAAATAGTCTAAGAACCTACACACGTTTTAGAAGCTTGTGATGAGAATACTATTAAAATTCTTAAAGTTCCTTCTTATTACTCGCCGTTCCTTAAAACTTAGTCAAATTAGACTGACACAGAGATTAATAAAGTAAAAAACGTATGATTGAGGTTTGTACAGAAGAAAGAAAATCAAACAGAACCAAATATTCTTTACTAAAAAGGAAAAATGACAAAGTAAGTGGAACAACAAAAAAGGAAGGTTCACAAAATTTTAAGGGACAGAGAGAACACAAAAACACCGTGTCTACGGCAACAGCCGGGTGTGGGGTATAATTTGTGGTCCACCTTCCTATGCTCAACAATTATAATTTTCAAAAGATTGAAATATGCCTTTTCATAATCAACATCAATGAACTGGTTCTTCCTTAAAAAATACTGCGTAGTAGTTTTATGACTACATGAGTAGGGACCAATTGAATCGAGAAAAGGGATTGATTCAATGATTACAAGGAATTATTGTTTCATAACATTAATTAAAGCACACCATTGAGGCGCTTAAATGACCCTTCTTCAATTTCCTTTTCAATGAAGTTACAATTTATTATCCTTCTTTTTTCAAAGGTTATTAAGTAAAAAAAAAAACTATTACATTACTCCCATAAAAAGTTTAAATGTCTACAACTACAAATAAAAACAAGCCTCTTAAACACTCACTTTCTCCATAATTTAAGATTTTGAGTCTTCAATTTTGATTTCTCTACCACCAAATATAGTGCTCCATTAATTTTTTTCCTATTAAAATATAATTGAATTAGTCATCTTCTAACTATTCATGATCATAAAAGCATCATCACCATTATCAATATAAATAAGAAATCATAGTTATGATTTCAATATGGTAATTGTATGGCTCACAATTAGCCACTGATCTAGACATGACTACATTTCCCCTATAAATAGGAGTATTCTCCTTCATTGTAATTATTACGCTTCTAATACACCTCTAACACATTATTAAGTGATAGAGTATATCTAGAGAGAAGTGAGAGCTAGAGAGAGAAGTGCAATAATATGCTTCAATAGAATGAATTTGTAACCCCTATAACTACTCCCAAGGGGAGTATTTATAGAGAAAATACGGGCTGGGCTCCCAAGCCTTGGGCTTGGGAGGCCCATTTACAACTGGACCGCTACTGAGCCGAATACAAAGCCACTAATGGGATGTACAAATGAGTGAGTGTAAAATCCGGTTCTGTGAGGTCTTCGTGGCCGACGAGGGCGTGGCCGACGAGGGCACGGCCGACAAGGGCACGGCCGACGAGGGCACCCGGGTTCCTTGGCTTCAGGACCATATTCTGAGTTGGTACCTTTCTCGGCCGACGGGGGTCCCTTGGCCGACGAGGGCACCACTCAGTGTCTTGTGCTTTCTGTTCTTCTGAGTATGTGGGTCTGGGGGCTCAGACCCATATACTCCATCAGGAGTCCCCCACTCTCTAAGTTGAGACGTAGACGAAGTGAAGGAGAGTAGATTCCCGCGCTTTGGTGCTTTTGGCCGATGCGGGCACTCCCAGGCCGTTAGTTGTTGCGGTGTTGGCGCTGTCTCCATTTCGATGATCTTGTTCCGTGCTTTGGCCATTACCTGCTCCTCGTTGTGGACGGGGGGCCGTTGTTTCCTTGGTGTGTTCGTTTGGGGACGATGAGTGTCCTGCTTCGATGGTGGCCGTTGAAGGCGCGTTTTCCCTTTCTTGGACGTTGATGGTTGAGATTTACATTTGGGCCGATGAGGCCGTTGGGGTTGAACCTTGCTTCGAGGACGATGGGCGTCCTTTCCTTTGGGTGGCCGATGAGGGTGCTTGCGCACTCCTTTTGGTCGTCGCTGATTGGCTTTCGTGTTCTTGGCCGAAGAGCCCATTATGATTAACTTTTGGCGGAGGACGATGAATGTCCTTGCTTTAGGTGGCCAGTTGGCTGTTGCTGCTGATGTTATGTGCCTTTGGCCGACGAGGCGCAGTGTGATACATGGACGATGTGGCCATGCTTTGTGGTTACATTTGTGTTCTTTGCATTTTTCCTTTCTGTTTTGTTGAGGCCGATGTAGTCCCCCAGTCCCCCACTGCTTCAGGCCGAAGAGAGTGAGGGGTGAAGGAGTTGCTTGAGTCCCTGGCCGAAGCGGCCTCTCCGTAGTGCCCCTGAATCCAACCCTTATGGCGATTTTCTGGCCAAGGTAACCCTGTGGGAGAACCCTTGTGCGCAGATCGCTTGTAAAGAGTTATCCTCAAGGGTCGTTACGAAGAGTCGATGACTGCAGGTTCTTTGTTCCTTTGGTTCTGCGGCCGTTACCGGCGTTCATGACGTTCCTGGCCGTTGTCGTCTCCTTATTGCTGGCATTTGTGAAACCGGCAAGCGTATAGGCCGTTGTGGGCGCTTTGCTAGCATTTGTGAAGCCGGCAGCATATAGGCCGTTGTGGGCGCTCGTTGTCCGTGTGATCCGTAGGCTTTTACTCCGCCGATAAGTTGGTTCACGAGCCCGGCCCATTTCTGAAGGGGTGGCACCTCATCGGCTGCTGGGAAGGTGACCGCTGAGGTGGCCATTGATATAGTGCCACGTGTAGTGACCGTTGGGGATTGTCTATAAATACCCCCCCCCTCCTCCGAAGCGGTTCCTTACTTGCATTCTTGAGATATCGAAGTGCTGCTCGAATTTCTAGAGAGAGAGTCTTCAAGGTGTTCTTCGAGTTCTTCATACCTTCAAGGTTAGTTCTTGACTTGTTCTTCAATTCCTTTGCATACTTTGCTTCCCTGAGCCTTGATCTAGTGTTAGTGGACAAAACGCCTTAGATCCGAAGTAATTCCCCTTAGGCTCGTAATAGTTGTTATGATGAAGAGCTTAGTCGAGGAATACTATCCGTACGACGACCAGCCCTCCACTAGGTCCCTCGACTATGAGGTGCTTGAGGAGTTCGAGGAAGAGATAGAGCGTTTAAGTCCTTACAAGTCCGGAGAGCCGGTGGACGACAAAGGTGAGGACGAGGAGTCCGCCTCGTCTTCAAAAGGTGAGGACGCAGGTGCGTCCCGAGTGGTGGACGGGGCGTCCACTTCCGCTGCTATTCCATGCCTGAGACCGGTGTCTGCCGTGAAGGGAGCAGAGAAGCCGAAGAGAGTAAGGAGGCCGAAGAGTGGGCCAGGCGTCTCCTACCTGGATCTCACAAATATTTACCTGATCAAGTCGGAGAGCAGCGCGGCTGATTACTTAGTTGCCCAGATGTACGTGGGGCCGTTCGGGAGGGTAAGGGCACCCAGGCTGACGGACCATGTACTCAATCCGCCACCAGGGTACTTCGGAGTATACCCGATGAGTTTTGCCAAGGGGCTGAGGTTTCCCCTTCATCCCTTCATTACTGAATATCTGGACATGGTGGGACTCCCTCCGGCCTTGCTGACCCCGAACAGCTACTCGTTGATGGTGGGGTTCTTGCTCCGCTATGAGGAGTTGGACTACAGGCCGACGACAGCTCTGTTCATGAACCTTTATCAGATTGGCCGAGGAAGCCACAAGAACTGTGCGGCCTACGCTACTCTCCAACAGTTGCCGAAGAAGAGGAGCTTCACGGACTTGCCTTCGTCCATCCATGGGTGGAAGAGCAAGTTCTTTTTCGTGTCCCTTGGTGAAAACGGCACTGAATTTCCCTCTCTCGGCCACACTGGGAGGTTCAATTTGCACGACCCGCCGAAGAGTTCGATCCTGGACGCTCAGGTGGAGGCATTCCTGGACGGGGGGGCGAGGAGCGTGAAAGACTACATCACCGAATATAAGATGACCGCCCTCGGCTTCTTTAGGTACTATGTGTATGGCGGCAAGGAGGACGATGTCCAACTGTGGCCGAGGATGACCACTACCTTCGAAGAGGCCGACGGCCCGGATTTGGGCATTCCTGCTGAGGCCGATGGTAATACTTTCTCCGGCTTTCTTCCTTTGTTTTTTGTTCTTTTGCCTTACTAATTTGTTCATTTTCCTTTGTGTAGACTTTGTTATGGATCGACGTTCAATCATGGCCATAGCCAAGGCCAAGGCGGCCGAGGAGCTGGCTGCGAAGGCGGCTGAGGCGGCGAGGCGTGCCGCGTCCGAGGGGGGCGGGGCTACTGCTGGTGCGGCCCCGAAGCCTGCCCAGTCCAAGAAGAAGAGGCCTCCCACTGACGGCCAGAAGAAACTGACCGAGGCTGGCCTGAATCTCGCTAAGAAGACGAAGAGGGCGCCGTCTCCTTCCCATGCCGATGAGGTCGGCACTCTGACCGTCCCAAATGTGGATGATGGTGGTCCCGTTGTGGATCTTACCGCTGCTCCAAGCGACACTTCCCCATCGCTCCCTCTCATCCAGGAGCCTCGGACGAAGCGGGCCGGCAAGGAGATTGCCGCTGCCACTTACCAGAAGATGGTGGAGTACCCCGTTGGCGGGGGTGTCTTTGACGATGGCGTCCTCGGCCATGATGTGCTTGCCCAGGCCATGCCGGCCAAAGATCGGGCCTACCTCAAGAGGCTCGGGGACGTCAAGGTGTACGAAGGCGGGATGGACCTCATCGTCCAAGTAAGTTCCCTTTCCTTTTATTTGTTGTTTTTCTCGTCGTCCGGCTGAAGTCATTGCATGAGTCTTTGTTTGCCTTTGTTGTGCAGGGTGCCTTCATGCTCATGGAGAGCCACAAAAGGCAGCAACGGGAGATTGCTCGTCTGAAGGAGCTCGAGCAAAAGGCTGCCTCGGCCGATGAGGCGGTGGC